TCAATTTTTTATGGTAACATTTTTTTCGGTGCCATTTCCCCCCGCCATTTAGGGACGGCATTTTTGAGAGTGCTCGATTTTTTTTTGGACCTCACCGACTCCGCACGATTATTTTTTATCGAATCTTGCCGCGTGCACGATATTTTTTTAAATTTTTACTATAGCGTTAATACAATAATAACCACGTATGGTTATATTCCGGCTGAAGAATGTATTTGAATATACAGCATATAACCACAAAATAGGAAAGTATAGCAGGGGCCGGTTGTATCAAGCCCGTTTAGCTTAAACGGTGGTTAAGCTCAAAATAGAAAGCAAGTCTATAGATTCATTAAACAACCAAACTAAAAGTTTTGAACCTTAATAGAACGATAATGTTTACAACTATATATTCAGTGCAGAATATTTAAGTTGACTGATTCACGAAAAATATAAGAGTGTTATTTAATTTTGACTTATCCACCGTTTAAGCTAAACGGGCTTGATACAACCGGCCCCAGAAGTGTAACCCACCGAAAATTTTAACTCGCTCACGCCATCCTGGCTAGAACAGCCGGAAGTTTTTATCAGGTTTTGGTAGGTACAAAGTTCCGGTTGCACTAGCCAGGATGGCGTGATTGATGACAAATCGCTTGTAAAAACGCGGACAAATACTTGCTTGAGTGAGACGTCTGGTATACCTTCCTATTCTATGATGTAACTATCACAGCCCATTTTATACTTGGCCAATTTTATACTTGGCCCATTTTATACGGGGCTATGGTCTACGAAATGTAGACCATAGCCCCGATCAAAATTGGATCAAGTGTATTAAAGTGTGTAACCCATTTTGCATTGGCGTAATGGCATCTATATACAAATTCTCACGGTTCCCAATCGTATCAGTGTTCCCAATACGTATTATAAACTGCGATTTTTATTCAGAATCAGAGAGCGATATTAATGAGGGTGGGAAAGGGTATTTTTGTGAGCCGTGAATGCAGTGGCGTAGCCAGACTATAATTTTTTTTTGGGGGAGGGCATATATCGAACGCCGAAGGTGTAAGCCTTTTCAGGGAAGTGAAATCTGGAGTCCCTCAATGGCGATTTCCCGTGTTTCTGGGGAGAGATTTTGCATAATTCTGAAGATTCTCAAACTTTGTAAGTAGTTTTTAACTGCCAGGCAGAGAAGAGAACTTAAAGCGTAGTACTGTACCATGCATTAAACATAATCTTAAAGCTATTATTATTATACTATTTTTATTAGAGTCTCGTTATCCGTGAAATTGCTTTTTTATGGCACGTGAATTGTGAAACGTTTTTTTTTGTTGTGAAACGTGAATCATACCCCTCCCCCCCTTTCCCACCCTCATTAATCGATGTCGTATTTACAGAAGTGTGGGACTTTCAGTGTTAAGATTGGGGTTTTTAGGGATACCATTAAGGTAATTTGTGGATAATTGAAGTCAAAGTTGTCAGAACTGGTTTGTATCGGTTTGTATTTTGCATGTATACTTCCAGTATTGTTAACCAAGGCAGAATCGAAACACTCAACAGAAAAAAAACTCAGGGAAACTGAATTTTTCTTTCAATATAGAATATTGCTAATTTAGAATTTTTTTGTGCTCGATATTTTTTTTTGCTGGTGTTAGTGATGTTCGATTTTTTTTTCTTCCATTCGAGACATGCTCGATATTTTTTTTCGGATTTGCGCCCCCCCCCATGAAAAATCAAATGGTCCATCCCTTATCCAGTATAAATGAAGTTAGTTTAGTTTAGGTTTCCTACTATAGAGTATAGGGCGTAAAAAAAAATACCTGTGGTTCCGGTTTCATATCGTGAAAAAATTAGGGCCGGTAGGTCGGAAATAATTTTTTTTTTGAATATTTTTTTCATGGTTTTGGCGTTTTTTGCTGGGTGATTTGCAGTAGAGTCCCGACATCAATATTAACTACAGATGCGTATTTCCTATGGACGAATTTAGGCAGACGAGAGAGAGAGACGCCATTTTGGCACGCTGTATGAGCAGCCCACAACCACCTGGAGAAAATAAGGTCGTACAGCCAATCGCGCTGAAAAAATAATAGGGTCGGGAACCGGAACCACAGGTATTTTTTTTACGCCTAGTGATACTGCCACTGGAGCAGTAAGTGATGGCCCTTACTATAGACCTGTATAATATAACCAGTTTAGAACTGACAGAGCTGTTCAGCTAAACTAATGTTTGTTTAGTTTTAGGTTTCCTCCTGTAAACAAAGAATTTGAGAGAGTTGAAAAAGCTCTTTAAGTGGAGTTCAAATTACTCTTTCGTAGAGAGTTGTTATGTCAGAAGAGATATTTTTAAACTTTACTGAAAAAAGAGTTATTTTAATTAATTCTCTTGGGGAAAGGCAAAGCTTAAACAAATTAACGTTAACAAAATTTGGACGAGTCATTTAAACTCCTAAAGGGAATTATTTTTACTACATCAGAACTAAATTAAACTGACCAACTCAATATTTAGAGCCATATTTCCACTTGAACTCCGTGAAAGTTAAATCGAAATAGTAACACTAGACCATTATATAAGAGATAACATTCACGCAATTTACTGGACCTCTAGGGAGAACAGTTTAGAACTCAGGCCCCGTTTACAATATACCGGATTGCATTGGAGCGTAGCGATTTTCATACCGGATTCGGCTGCTGTTTACACTACGCCACAGTAATCCGGTACGCGACACAGAGAAAAAATCACTCCGCTTTGGAGGTGATATGAAAAGTAATCCGGTATGTGCCGGAGCAGTGTAAACAGGCTAATCTGGTACGCTTTGGTACAAAATCGGTTTTGGCGTGTATGTTTTAACATTGTCGCCTTTATTTGCTCGCTTTTACAATACTTTATAGCTGTTGTTTGTTTCGCCTTGCAACCATTTACTATTTCTGCCGAATACAAGTAAAGAAAACGATAATAACATTGACTTTTTGCTTTCGAAAGAGCAAAATTTAAAGAAATACTCTGAAATTTTGGATTAGAGCGAAACAAAGCAACATCTGGTGTTCAAGCTTTTTAAACAAAGTTATACTTTACAAAGAAAACGGGTGTTACTTCTTGTTTTTAATAAATTTTGGTATATTGGCTACATGTTTCCATGGCAACAGTGAAAGACATGAGCTGGCAACAGAGCGAAGCGGCATAATCCGGTATGAAAAGTAATCCGGTATAGTGTAAACGGGGCCTCAGTCTGATCACAGAATAGGGAGGTATAGCAGAAGCGTAACTCAAGCAAGTATTTGTCCGCGTTTTTTACAAGCGATTCGTCATCAATCACGCCATCCTGGCTAGTACAACCGGCACTTTGTACCTGCCAAAACCTGATAAAAACTTCCGGCTGTACTAGCCAGGATGGCGTGGATTGGCGTGAGCGAGTTAAAATTTTCGTGGACGTCAAACAATAAGGAAAACGACTAGAGTTACGCTTCTGCTATAACTTCCTATTCTGTGGTCTGATAGAGCTATCCAGCATAAATAAAACTAGTTTGGTTATTCATTATTTACCTTCGCTGGCAAACCAGAGAAGTTGATGGCACTTTTCAAAGTATATTCACAACAGTCCAATAAAGGTTCAAACACCACACGACAATTTAACGGCAACGGCTGGTCAATATCTTTGAATTTCACTGTAGAGTTTGTGGAATTAATGTGTTCAATTTCCAATATGGATTCCGGTTTAAGGTATTTCATTCGTTCGTTCCAATGGTTCTCCAAAACACGGAAATATTTAATGTCTGGATATACGTGCGACATTTGTGAGACATATATTGGGTCGTATTGACAGTATATCGATAAAGGACAGAGCAGGAGATTATTTTCACACTTTAGTGGGATTGAAATAGGTCGTCCATCCGAGTCTTCTGCCATCAAATTGTGTTTGGTGCGAAGGGCATGCAACATGAGAACTTGATTATTGTCAAAAGTGCAAGTGTCGTTCATCCCGTAGTGGCCGCCTTCTTGGGAACAACACACCAAGTTGGGAACACCAAACTTATCGAGAAATTCATTTAGTGCATAAGATGCATCGCTCCAAGTTAAAGATTTGACAAACTTGGCCGCTTCCATTGTGCATCGCCAACTAATCAACTATTGCGGTCAGTGCTTCCATTTTCAAAAAACATAATTTCCTTCCAACCGTTCAAAATTTCCTTATTTTTGAAAAAATTTCCTTGCAATAAAAATTATTGAATTTTACCTAATTTAAAACTGATTTTATAATAATTTATCTCGAATAACCGGTTATTTCTTGTTCTAGAAGGCACATAGACGTTGCACGAGCTGAATTATCAAAGGGGAGAGACAAAGAGTTTACCTAGATTTGAGGGCCCCCTATACTTTTTGCGTGAAGCGCTTATTTTACCTAGCCGTGAAACGTGATTGGGCCCCCTATAATTTTTGCGTGAAGCGCTTATTTTACTTAGCCGTGAAACGTGATCGATGATTTTCTTAATCCGTGACTCGTGAAAAGGCAAAATATTTTTACGTGAAAGCATATTATGAAGAGGTATAGGGGGCCCTCAGATTTAACAGGAAGGAGAATAAGCAGGGGGGTCTGGGGGTCCTCCCCCAGAAAATTTTCAGATTTTGCATCCCGCAGACAGGATTTCAGCATATTTTGAAGCGCATTTCCTTGGAAATTGCCATATTCTTAGGATTTTTTAGAAATAACGCAATTTCCTTCACATTTCCTTCAATCTTCCAAAATTTTCTTCAAATTTCCTTCAGATTCGAATTTCCTAATAATTTCCTTCAACTAACTTTCAACTAGTTCAAATTTCCTTCAAAAAGGAAATTTCCTCCAAAATGGAAGCACTGATTGCGGTCTTATGCCAATCCTCAGAGGAGGGGAAGGCACTAGATAGGATCGGCCCAAACCCCATGAGCCAACAATAACATAATATTTTATCAGCGGTATTTTAATGAACACTAGCGAATTTCCGGAATATTCAGAATTGGTTTCCGGTTTTCAAATGGTGCAGTATTAAATCTGACTCTTCCACAGTCCCTCATTTGTACGCGCGGTCGCGTAATTTGAGCAGCGCTGATTTGAGGGACTGTGAAATCGTGATTCGAAAACTTGCAAAAACACTCGAAAACTTGCAAATGTGCTCGAAAACCTAAAAATTCGTCGAATATGGAAGAAATCGTGGATGTTTTGGACGATAGCGGTGCTTTGCTGTACATGGGAAGTGTTTTGTCTGAATCGTGCGAGGAATTAGAGATATGAATGGAATATTTATATCTTGAAGACGATGATGGTGAGTGTTGACATTTTATAGCAATATGCCTTTGACCCTTCGACTGTAAAAATATATTATATAGGCGAGATTTTGATTAGGTTTTCGTGTTTTATACTGTTTCATAAAAGTGATTGTACCTTTACAAGTTACAACTTCGTAAAAGCTGGGCAAATGCTCTATAATACGGATTATTTTTATTTAATTCTACAGAATAATTTCCACGCGCTATTTTATATAAATATATACGCCAATTAACATGTCAACAAATATAAAGTCAACAAGAAGTCCTGCTCAGGGGAAACATGAACTGAACCGCCCTCGTCTAACCGTTTTGCCAAAAACGAACATATTTTATGTTAGTCTTAAGAGTTAAGTTACTCGTTGTTTTTGCCAAATGTGTAAGACTTTTCACTTTTGCAATAGCAAAATGTGAAAATGCTGAATAATAATTTTTTTAATGAAAATTATTTAGCCAATGGGGATCTCAGGTTCTAGCTCCTTGGTTAGTCGTCAGCATTTGAGGTTTAGGAGTTCTGAACAGGCCTCCATGTTATGGATTTATTTTAACCTCAGTGTTTTACCTAGACACCCCCCCCCCCTCAGGTTCAGCATTACCACGTCATCACCAGTTAATAGGGCTGGGCAATATTTTGATATTATCAATGATACACGATGATTGTACATACTCAAGATCATCATATTGAAAGTAAACGCTGAGCCGTGATGGAGTTATCGTAAGGGCCGAACTAACAAAGCTTAATAATATAAAATCTTAAAAAAACAATGTTAATTAATCCATCCCTTTATTATTTTGTTTGATAATTGCCAAGGATTTCACACAGAATCCCCTCCCCCAATACCCCCAAGTGAATCCATCCCACTACTACACAAAATAATACTTCTTTCCCTCCGAGTCAGAGACAGATTTTCATATTTTCGTTCAGGGGGTGGATAATATCTGGGGAGGGTGCTGCTGCTTGCTTTGTCCAGGGCATGGTGGCAACACCCAGAAAGGCCAAGGAAAAAGTTTAACAAAATTTTTTCTAGGCCTGCATGGCGAGATCTGAGACCATAATATTGGTAATTTTACAAATTTAGTAGTAAGAATAATCAAATATGAAACTATCAAATCGAAATATATGTAATTTGCAGAGGTGCCAAATGCCTTTGGGAGGTGCAAATCATTTCTGGGAGGGTGCGCACCCCCCCCCCCCACACACACACACAGAAAATCTGTGCCAATTAACAATGAAAGCATTTTTTTACAGATCTCTGCAATATTATGTTTACAAGTTCCTTGAAGATATAATTATAATAAATGGTGACATATGTCTGTACATTGTAGAGCATTTTGTACATATTTTGTACTTATATTACTGAGGCCAAATAAACATAATAGTTGGTTTCAGGTTTCACAGCCATGTTTTATATGGGTAGGTAGGTTGGAAAAGCATTTTATTTAAAAACACATAATCAGACGTGCCACACGGGATCAACCGGGAGCTACACATGTTTTGCGAGAAACAAATGCGTCAAGGATTAACATGACTAGATAATGATTAAATTATGAGCAAACAAAATACTTTGTAGCAAATGACTCAGATGCCTATTTATATATTCTGATATTTACGAAAAGATGATCCCTACTTGGGAAATGTCAATAATATGTTTATGGCCGGTCATATTTTTGACACGTCGGTCAGAAACCTGAAGCCAACTATTATTTTTATTTGGCCTGAGTACTTTTTATAATATTCAGACAATAGATAAATTTGTATCATAATTAAATTTGTATCAAAATCTGTAATTTAATAAATATTCATTCCATCTTGTTTCATTTCTTGTTTTCTTTAGTAGCCTACAAGAAAAGATCTTCCTAGAAAATCTGATATTTTTGAAAACTTATTACATGTATATACACAAGGCTGTCGGAAGTAAATCAATATTGGGATGGGGTCTCAAGAATAAATTTGAATTGCTTTTGCACTTTTCAGTGTGTTTGCTCATACAAATGGAAGATGGGGGGGGGGGCTTATGCTGCCCCCCCCCCACTTCTGAGTTCTGACAACCTTGATACATGATCTAACTGGCACCTGGCTAGGCCCCACACACCTATGTTTTTTTCCCCAATGAAATTATTAATAAGAACAGTATGCTAAAAGAGGTTCAAACATGGGGGATGTTTCTGTGAAAGCTGGCTTTGCCTGATAAGAGGGATATCCCCATGTATAGCAAGCCTTTTTTAAGGTACTATCACTGTTTGAATCACTCAAACCTGATGCTGATACAGCTGATTGCTAAGTAAGTGCACAAGGGTTTGTTTTGAAAATTGCATTAATAAAACCAAGTCAGTATGGTGTTAAGCCTCAAAAACTGAAAACAATAGACTTGGCATAGACCCTTCCTGCAAGGGGTGCAAACAATAAAATTCCTTATATTTTAATATTTAATAGGTAAATTTGCTTATTTGCAAGGGGTGCAATTATGCAAACACAATGGTGAAAACAATTAACAATATATTCAAGGTGGCATCCTTAACTACTACTCGCTACTTGCACATGGTGCAAAGGCTATAAAATTATTGATTAATAGAAATTAATTTAACAATATTTTACCTGAGATTCGACAGGGAAATATTTTGATCAGCGTATGTCTTTAGTTTGACAGAGTGCAAAAGAAACATTCCGTATATTTTGGCAACTTCTTTCGGATCTTGGCCAAATATGGAAATAACGTTCCTTCTCCAGAAACGTCGAACCAAGAACTACTTGCCAATGTCTACACTCTACAACAGTCAAAACAAGATCGATATTTTTAAATATGCACATATATTAATAAATTGCGACAATTGATACATTTTTGAGCGTAAAATATGTAAAATGTAAATGAACATACCTTCGTACCCTTCTTCAATAAACAGGAAATATATTTTAACGTTTCCTCGTCATACATAACGACCTTGAAAAATCCTCCCTATTTGCATTATCTCGGCCATTTAATAATACAATTTACAATG